CACCCTGGGAGTTGTAGTCGCAGCCAGAGCGGAGACCGCCCCCCCTTCCCCGCCCCTCTCGCCCCGGACCGTGCAGGGATGTCAGCGTTTTTATTCCCGACCTCTTATTCCCGTACCCCTCCAGGGTCTTGATGGGGATTTGGGAATGTGCCGTGCAGGGCAGAGTGTCCCTCTGAGCCTTCAGCTGTAGGCCACGGAGCCTGCCGGTGGAGGCACCTCTTGTGGTGGTGTCACATTGTGGTGTTGCATTAAAGTTTGTATGAATTAGAAGAATAAAATGTAAAATGTAATTGAAATAATCAATTTTTTGCTTAAGGTTCACTGTACAACCTCAATCCTGTTTAATTATTTACCTAATGTTAAAACAGAGAAATAATAACTAGACGTGATTTATCTAAAAGTAAATGTAGGAACTAGCCATTAGACAATGCAGCTTTGTTAAAAAGAAGGACATTCCTGTCACAAACAGAAGTTAAAGAATGATAGACTGTGGGTGCTGTTCGTAAACCATGAAGAACTGCCTGGGACTGCCAAGATTAGGGAAGGAATAGACAAAAGGTAATTCTGGCAGTGGGAGATGGTGACCACCAACTCACTGACCACCCACCCAGACAATACCACCTACTCAGAAGGAGACAATGGAAGTAGAAGATGGAGCCTGCATACTAATCTAAATAAGCGAGGAAATCAGACCTAATCAATAAAAAGAACAACAATGAATATGTATCAGTTATATGAATATGTAATGATAGGTGTATAAATATAGAAATTTCTTGGGCTAGGGTGTGCGCTGTCTTGGGACAGATGCCCATTCATGTGCATCAAAGTGGAATTCTTCCAATGCATATTATTGGCTTGTACACTGGATAAAGAACCCAGGGGCAATAGTGTTGTGCAGTGTCCAATCACTTGGTGGGATGCACATCACCAGAGCCCACAGGTCAAACCCGACAGCCTTCAAAATTCATTTTTGAACATAAGTCTTCACACAAAATATTTTATGCTGAAAAAGGGGGAAAAAATCCTATAGGAATAAAAACATCAGGAGCAGTATTTTTCTTCAAGGCTGGACATGATGGCCCTGAAGTCCTCACCTGCCAAGCCCGGGGTGGGCAGAGGCTTTGGGCTGCATCCTGTTTTTCCCTGCATAATTCAGTGGGCATTTCAGGTGTGAAGTAGAACAGGAGAGCGCATTAACTGACAATTTTGTCCGAGTCCTGACGGTGGACATTTGCTGGTGCAAATATTTACTGCTTTGAGTATTAATTATTAGTATTGCTGTACTTGAAAGGCTTATCAGTATGCTTTGAAGCCAATGACCACTGCATCTTTTGCTTGTACTTCAGAGCACCGGTAATGACATAAAGTAATTTGGAAATGATGTGTTCCAAATGGCCAGACATTTCTGTTGAATTTACTAGGCTATGCTTATGTATAAAATCTCCTGAGAAACAAGCATGTGTGATAACTTCTGGCAATAATTTATGGTTTTGTACTATGGTGGGCTTTCTGTTGTCATTTTACAGGAGTATACTCTGACAATACTCAATTCTAACAGGCTTTTCTGCTTGTTGTATCTCCTATTGCCTCTCAAAAGAAGAAATAAATGACAGATGGTGAGCTACAGTAAACAGTGCAAATTATCCATACTGTTATTTTTGGTTTTCAGGTTCCCTGTTCCATACATGGAATACTGCATTTCCATTTTCACATAACAGTTTTCACAGACAAAAAACTTAGTTTCAAGAGCATCTTTACTATTGTGTATTTGGTCCAACCGAATCAAAAGAAAAGTAAAGAAAATATAATAATAATAAAAAATAATAATATTACATTTTAAGTATTTTCAGGACTGGACACTGCTATATTCAATCTTAACATCCAAAACTTGCATAAGCACTTTCTAAAACCAAGGCCAGTTTCACCTCTGACAAAGGATCAGCTTCACTGACCTCAGTGGCATTTTGCTCACTTATAGCAGAAACAGACTTTGCCCTTAAAATTTGAAAGTAACATTATTAAAATACTTCTCATGCTCAGAGACCTCCTTAAAAAATACATGCAGGCAGCCACTGAGTTGTGACCATCTCTGGGCTAGAAAGTGACAATGAGATGGAAAAAGAGCATCCGGGATAATACAGTAGAACAAGATGTTTTTTACAAGTATTCTGGACCTCTTCCTACACCTTGTGGTATGGCAATTTTCACTGGTGATGCAAAAAGAAACAGAAAATACAAAAATAGATTCTGGATACATAGAATCAGCCAAATCACCCTCCTTTGTATGAGGAAGTGTGCTTATTTATTAATACTTAATTATTTCAGAGAAGTCCTTGAGCCCTGTGGTGTGGATGATGATCTGAGTTCTTTAAAGCTGAGTGTGTTTGTAACCGAGGCTTACTTCAGTATCATCTCTGCTAAAATTACTCCTGCATCTATGCTGCCCTTACCCTCCCCTTCCTTCTTCCCCTTTTATAATGTAAAATTTGCAGCTACAGCTCTGAAATGTCCTTGTGGCCAGGGAGAGGACACAAGCCCTTTTATGCAGGAGGTGGCTGTGACAGTGCCCATGCAACATTAAACATTACCCGGCAGCTTTGTGATCACTCCCAGCAAGAAGTTTCCTGCTTCCTGTCTCTTCTCTCTTCTCACTTGTCCCTTCCCCCTCTCCCAAATATTTCTCCAGCCCTGTCTCATTGGTGCACTATGCTCCTTTGCCTTTTTTGGACTGCCACACTGTCAATCTAATGCAATAAGGCCAGGGGCAGGTGCAAACCTCTTGCTATGGCTCCTCTTACTAACCAATCCTCGACTGGCCCCTCATCCCAAAATACATAAGAGCCAATAGAGTGGGAAAGCCTGGGACCCTGGGGAGAGGCCAAAGCTGATAGACTGCTGGGGGGGGTTGAGGGGGAATCCATTTAGGACCCGGGTTAGCCCAGGAGCTGTGTTTGGATTCCTCTTGGGACCGTGGTGACTTGTGGATAGCGGGCGTGCTCTGCTGATTCATTTTCATTACTGTCAGCATGGTGATCAAAGTTTTTGTAGCCACATCTTCAGGGTCTACAGCGGTAGGTGTCTCATTTAACATGCTCCTCTTTCTTCTGGGATCAGGTTGGTAAATTAACCTAGGAGATCCCAGGACATCCTGAGTTTGCATGGAGAAAAAAACCATTTAATTTCTTCTAGTCTGTATTGTGCATCTTGCTCTTGAAAGCTACTCAAGATGCAGAGAATTCCTGTTAATGCAGGCTTGCTTGCATGCTAGGGTTTGCTACAGATGTAACATTTACATATGAATTGTCATTTAAATAGATTTCATTCTGTCTGAAAAAGTGTATCCAACATATATTCACTGAAGAAGGAAAAAGTGTGGGTTTTTTATATTTGCACAAAAGCTAAGGTGGATTGTTTACAGGAGAAATTAATGCATTTGGTTTTAAAAGGTACTTTAGGATGCTGCTCCTGGAAAAGGGGAGCTCTGTCTAAGAAAAAACCTGGAGCCAAAGTAAGCTGAGCAAAGCTATGCAGAAAAAAAATTCTTCCCTATCCTCTTCCCTTTTTCTAGGTTTTTAGTTTTATTTTTATGTTTTTCCTTGGGGTTGTGTGTGTTTTTTTCATGTGTGCATGTCTTGAAATGCTATACTGGTGATTTGTAATATTGAGATCTACTGCTGTAGCTGTCAGCATAGTGTATCAGCTGAAGGGAAGGGCGTGTGAGTAGTAGGGAGGCTGGAAGTCTGTAGGAGGTGGGAACCGGGAAAGGACTGTTTCCTTTTATATCCAGTTCCCAAATGAGCTCGGATTGCAGTTTTCCTTTGGCAGTTCACTCCCTCCCCGTGACATGGCTAAACAAACTGGCTGGTGCTTGCACGTAGCTGTAACCACATTTCTGTCTCTCTGACACCAGCTCCACATCTTTGAGAAGCTTCCAGTCTTGAAAAGCTCCAAAACCCTCTCGTTCATGGGGCCATCACCTCTACAAAAGAACTAGGGGTCATTCATTTAAATTCAGCTTGGAATATGGTTGAGGAAGTTTGCAGTTCTCTCCTCAGCTTGTCTCACCAGGCTATCGCAAAGCCTGACACTCTAAATTTACTGTTGACATTTTAGCATTCCTTTTGTAACAAGAAACTTCCAACGGTGGGGAAAAAAAGAAGAGGGGGTTGGAAACTGCAGTTTTGGTAATTTGTAATCTAGCAGTTACTGCTCGAGTAGCTCATTAATTTGCAATATGCTGTGCATTGGCAGTCTTTTTGCTCCTGTTTAGGCTCCTGTTTCAGTCTTCATTGACTGACCAAAGAAGAGTCATCCCTACGTCCTTTGCCACTCACCTGTTTTGTGGGGGAAGTTGCGACTGTGGCTGGAATCCCAGTGCAGACATTCAGTATGTGTGTGCTGGGGCCATCCTCAGGCATGAACTGTTACCACTCCGGCTGTAGGACTGGGGCTGTAGTTCAGCAAGGCAGTTGTATGAGTGCTTTGATGAAACACTGGCATTCAGAGATCATTTACGCAATTAAAACTAAACGTATCATGTATTTAGCACTAGCTGAACCAAGATCTTCCCTCTGCTATACCCATTCCTTGTATCTCCTCCCAGCTAGGCAGCTATAACTAACTCCTCTCCTCTTGGACTGCTGTGAAGGGATGCGTGTGCTACACTAGGCAACGTGCAAGCTTTACCCAGCCATTCTGAACTGTTAAGCATTGCCACTGTGGTTTATTACTGCTAAGAAAGGTAGCTAATGCCAGTGAACTGTAGTAGATTTTAAGCCTATTAATGCCAATCCCTGCTGTATATTAGCAGCCCACAAAAGCTGTCAGTGAGATCCCAGACATATACTGGAAGGAAGGGTGTGGCGTATGGATAGCTGTAGCAATCTCAGAAGGCAGCATGTTTTCAGATTACTGGTACATAATTGCAATGCCAAGTAAAAACAGCGTTTAGCTAGAGTAGTTTTCCACAGTTACTGATTAAAATGGGTGGAAGGTATCCTTTCAGTGAACCTCTAATGAGTTTTGGTATACATAAAATAAAACTCATGCAAGGAGCCAGCACAAAACCACATCAACAAAATCCTATTAAAACCAAATTTTGTATCAGCCTTGTACTGCTTTTCCTGAGAAGAATGAATTTAATCCTTGAAGAGCTTAAACTGGAAGTCTAAATAGTTCTAGTAGCAGTTATTCTCTTTGATGTGGCTGACCTCTATCAGTTCTGTGTTTTTCCATTTAAATGTCAAAATAAGATGGGCCTAGCCTCCTCTGGTGTAAATCAGCAGAGGATCATTGTTAAAGAATGAAAAATGTTTCTATTCTATGTATGGCACAGTCACATCACTAATTGCAAGTGGTTATCATATTAAATACTTTTAAAAAGTAAATATAGTGAACTCAGTAACATCCTTGTGGCCTGGATCAGCCACTTGAATGATGTCTTTCACTGCAGCTCTAGAGCATATCTGCAGTCTGTATTTTTCCCCTCAAAAATTTATTTTAAACAACTTCAGCTGCATTAACTTTCTGCTCCAAACTTAGCTGATATTGAAATATTCATTAAGGCAAGCAGAACCGGAGAGACATTTTTATAGGGTTAAAAAGTACTAAATGCTTGGCTTGAAGCAAGCAGTAATAAATAAATAAATAAATAAATTTTTTACTAGGCATAGAGGTGCTTAGAAATGGGTAATATCCTGCAGGGTTCTAAGGAACCATAAATCATGGGAGAAAAGGGGGTTCATGCCTTACACAGAGAAAGTCTTCCAAAGTCTTGCTTACTGCTGCTCATGGTTAGGACACCTCTAAAAACCTTTCATTCCCAGCATTTTTGGTGACATTTTATTAACTCGCCCACCTTCAAATATGTAGGTCTCAGAAAGGCTGGGGAAAATGTAGACTATTTGAATTATGTTCCTTAAAATACAGTGCAGAGGTTTTTCATCTGTGGCTGTGAATCTAGCTATAAACCTGAGCTCAAATTTCAAATCAATTTCAAGTCAAATCAGAATTTAGAGTGTGATAAATAAGAATAATTATCAGCAATAGATTGTCCATGCAGTATTAGAATCAGAAGCTGCAGCAACTCTGCCTACCAGCAGTAATGTTCCTCTTGCTGTAAATTGTTGCTTATGTACTGCTTGCTTCTGCCATAGACAGCTGGTCAACACAAATGCTCTGGATTGTGAGGATATAGAGGATAACATTTAATAATGTATCAGGTGAACCTAATCTTATCTATAGATTTTACAGTCTAGGTAGATAACATTTATTTTAAAATTTTTTTTTTCCTTATTTCAAGGGACTAGCAACTAAGGATGGTAGACCTTCAGCTTTGTTGGAAGGGAAAATGACATTGATGAAATAATACCCTGTTCACCACAAGTTTCCAGGGATTATATTCCCAAATCATCCAAATTCTTCCCATACCATCAAGACACAAGTGAGGGTACAAACAAGCTCCTACAATCTTACCCATTCTAGGAAAACTTTTGCATGTCCTCTGTGTCCTGGAAGATTTCACTCTCTCAGTCCTCTTTGCTGGAGAGGTTAGTGCCAGCTACCTAGTGCCAGCCACAGCAGAGGCTTTCTTTATGGTTTCATACTTAGGGTGAGTTCCAAGTCTTTTGTTCTGCATAAACCCCAGTAACTGTCAAGCTTTAAGACACAGTACATCCTCTCTGGAGTTTCGTGTTGTCATTGTAATGAGCAACATTTTGCCTTTTCCTAATGCACACATAATTGCATGTAACTTTTTATTTTTCCTCAGCACTCATTTTTCACACAATAATTTTTGCTTTCAGTCCTGAAGCCTCCTGTATATTATGGACTTCAAGCTGAAGAAAAACTGTTATCCAGGTTTAATTCTGAAAGTTATAGCTATAGCCATAAGCAAGGGAGTGCAGACTTTATATCTCAGTTTCCATTATCTCTTCAGAGGCACTATCCATCTGGGGCACCAGCTATTCCAGGAGCCATATCTGCTTCTGTGACTGTGTCCAAAGAAACAAGCTGATGCTGAAACTGCTGCTGACAGCACTTGAGTACATTGTCTTTCAGAGCCTGTGGTGAAACTCTTGGTACTGGCTTATGCAGATTTTATTAACCATTTATACAAACATTATCCTGCCACTTCCTCCAATGAACTGTCCCTCAGACAATACTTTCTGCTGCATGAACGTGTTCTGCAAATAACTGTGCAACTAAATAGCTATAAAGAAAATTACCTCTATTTAAAACATGAAAATAAGAATATAAATAAACACCTTTGAGATTTGTCAGCTGCATGGCTTTTGAGCACTTTGGATTAGTGCTTCCATTCAAAGTAATGTACTTTTTTTAGCTCACCTTAAACCTTTGTCATTGTCATCAAAATGTACATTTTACAGTTTATGTTGTGTGCCTGTTTTTTGTTTGTTTGTTTTTTCCCTAAGCAAGCATGGCTGTGTAGATAGATATTTCCTTAGTTAAATAAGAAAAAGAAATTTTACCCTTGATCATGAAAATTCATTCTTCAGTATAATAGGCTTTCACTCTACCTCAGCTTTTCAGGTTTATTACATTATAGAGATACATAATCCATGAATTATTTCTCATCTCTTTGTCTGTCTCAGACTGATTTACACTAGCTTAGCGTCACTTTAAGTTCAGTTGTTTGGATGTCTCACTTGTGGAAGACATGGTTTCAAATCATATAATGGCTCATATGTAAAAATTACCTTGATACATCATTCTAGCTGCCATCTGCATAGGACGCTAGCTTGCTGCACAGTGTAGCATAACTGGGAGAAGAGAGTCACATCTGGAATGTGATAGTGCTAGACAGTAATTTAGTTGTCAGTGACTGAAGAGCAGCTTGAGAGAATTTATACAGATCAGTCCTGCTTGCTTCAAATATTGCAGTACTTGTAGGGCTAAAGTTTGGTCTTGCAGCTCTTAGTTAGACAAGTTAGACATATACAAAATGGGGAATTCCTTTAAAAGTAACTTAAGAGTAGCATACCTTTAGTAGAAAAGCATAGTGAGTATTACATCTTCAAAGTAAAGAGGTAAGTTGATGAAGTGCTAGGGTCTAAACCCCAAGCCCTGAATCAGGGTTGATACATGGATGATGCCCACAGCCAGGCAAGAGAAACTTTCCTCTTGTTTTTTTCTTAAGACCTGGCCAACCTTGGGAGAAAAACAATTAGGAAATTACCACCAGGTGCCCTGCCTTTGGAATTAACATCAGGTGTTTCACCTCTAACTTAACAGTATAAAGGTTGCTCTGATTGCAGTTTACTGATGTAGTAGGTGTGTTGTGTATGTGCTTTCAGTTGTTGGAAGGGCTTGCTGGTCACTACAAGTACAGTTCTCAGTGAGAGCAGGACAGAAAAGGATTACCTGTGTAATATTGCTTTTTCTGGGCAACTGCTGTATGACTGGAATTGGACTGATGGCCTGGCTTATTCCTTCCCCCATGACCTCATCTCTGACTTGTTTCGTTCCTTTCTTTGCTAGGTCATATACCCTGAGTGAATGTATTGATCTATTTGTTCCTCTGGTTGTAGCCACCTCGTATCTTATCTACATACTTTAGAATGAGATGGTAAAGTCTTTCCTGTATGTATATTGCTACTGTTCGTATCCTTCTTACTGTGTCATGCAGTCAGTGAAAGAGTTCCTATAAGCTTAGTGCTTGTGTTCTAGGTCTGCCTAGAAATAATATCAAAGAGAGTAAGGACCATGGTTGAATTTTAGGTGGCACAGAAGGTGTGTATAATGTGCTTTATTTGTATCTAATATGTTCTTTATTGTACAACTGGAACATTGTTCTGTGATGTGGGAATTATTAAAACACAGGAGTTAGGCTATGCTGGATTTTTAGTGAGTTTTCACTTGTAGTTAATTATGCCTAGCATTAAAGAACAGGGGCAGAGAGAAACACGTGACCCCCAGAAAGCCAAATATCATACATATGGAAGAGGAAAAAGGAGACTCATGTATTGAAGAGAATGTGAATGTCCTCAGACCTGTGTTGACTTCAGGCAGGGTTAGCTTAGGTGTCTGCACACCACACTCACAGATCTAGGATCAGAGTAGGAGGCTTCATGCTGAGCCTTCTTTCTTAGATAGAGGTATCTTAGCTTCCAGGGAAGAAAGAAAGAAGCTGGGGTGAGGGAGGGGAATAAGTAATGTCAATGCCCTAGGTGCTGAGAAGTGGTGTTGAATCTCAGCTTCCAAAAGTTTTGGGGCTACTGGAGCAGTGGATCCAACCTGACATGCTTGCATTAGTTCTGCTTGTAATAACAATTGCTCTTAGAAAACAGTTTTCTTTCTAAAGAAGGAATGTTGGTTTTCCTCTTTCCTAACCAGATCAAAAAGAAGCAGCAAGAAGTAGTGGGCTTTTTAGAGGCCAACAAGATTGACTTTCAGCAAATGGACATAGCAGGTGATGAAGACAACAGGAAATGGATGAGAGAGAATGTCCCAGGTGAAAAAAAGCCTCAGAATGGAATTCCCCTCCCTCCACAGATCTTCAACGAGGAGCGGTACTGTGGGGTAAGAAGATGTTTAGAAATTTAAACTCCTTCACAGGGAGTGCCTCTTTTCCATCCCTAGGAGGTGTCAAGCAAGCTACTTAAGACAAGTGGAGATTTACTTTGAAAAAATAATTCTTAGTACTTTTTTGGTACATAAAAGGACTGAAACAAAAGATCTCTCCTTTTTAAGAGAAAAATACACAAGAAGGCAAAACTGACTAGAGAAACACTCCTTAACAGATTGTATGGATTATTCACAGCAGACCCAGAGCTTGTGCAGGACCCAGAGCTCACTTCAGGGTGTGGAAATGGCTGCCTGTGATGAGCTCTGTGTTCTCCTCTCACGTCCTCCTGCTGTGGAACTCGCTCACAAGTTGCCCTGTTTTTGGCCCTCTGCCTGCACTCTTACTTCAGATCCTGAAGACCAAAGGCAGTACTGTCTAGGTGGTGCTATGACTTCTTCACACAATATCTCAGGATGTCCAAATGTAGACTATGAGAACAGCTCAGCTGCACTAGGAGTAGTAAATGCTCAGTTACGTGGCTTGACAATACCAAGCTACTCAAGACGAGTAGGGTTCATAGCAAGGCTGAACTGCTATCTCTATCTGTATTGCATTGTGCCTCCTGAACTTTCAGTTAATTCTGCATGGTGAATATTGATGTTTGACACAGACTCATCTGCACTTCTAGGAAGTCAGGTAGATGTCTGAGGCACCAGGGGCTGTGAACAAGAATCTTTTTCTGGTATCTTATAAAAACAAGAGGAAATATAGTTGACTGGAATAGTTCTAGTATGTGGTTTGAATTCCTGCTTGTTTAATAAATATCCAACTCTTCATAACAGAAATTTTAACACTCATCAGGTGCTTTTATATTCTCATATATGCTTGAAACAGGTGATTTCTCTTGAGAGAGTTTGTTCAAGTCAGTAATAGACAATATTGTACTAGTATGAATATTTGAAACATGAATTAAAGGAGATATCTGAGAGGGTTTTTTTCATAGTCTGGATGGAAATATATAGTCTGGAAAATACTCTGATATGATTGCTGATATGAACTTGCAAAGTACTCTGAAATGCAGATCACATAGTGAGCCTAGTTTTAAGTTACTCCACAAATCCAGTGTGAGCTACTGCAAAGGTTGTTTTCAGACAGGAGGGATTTACGTGCCACTGAGTTTTCAGGATTAACTTCAGTGCTCTCAGAGCAAAAGTTGCCAGTATGAATAATGGAGTGAAATTGTTTCCTTATTTTCTTATAGGAATCCTATAAGGGAGCTTGATAGGTTAGAGTTTATGTGCATTTGAACATCCAATCTGCATCAATAAAAAATAGAATGTGATATATCTTACTCTGGATTTTGTGGCAGTCAATGTTGCAATGAATATTTCTGATATTCCCTGGAGAGGTTATATAGTGAATTAAAGAGTAATTGCCTTACAAAGTGTTGCAGCTCATCAGCCTTGAAAGTAAATGGTAAATATAAAATTTTTACTCCATGTCTGAAGCTATTTCAGGAAGCCAAATCTACATCTTGAAAGAAGTCAAAGTTAAGGAAGAGTCCTTTACAAAGACACCTCCATGCAGAAACAGGTCCAGAAAGCAGCTGCAGCTACTGATTCAATAACTATGTAAAATTTACAATTAGCCTAAAAGACTCCAGAATTCTGATGTACCCAGCTCCCAAAGCTCATAGCTATTGATCCCAGTGAGTGCATAACAAAGATTAACTTATAGCACCATTATTTCCAAATAAATAAGGTAAGGAGATGCACTTTATATCAGTACCTGAGCCTTACCCTTCTCCTCAGGGGAAGGTGCCTAAGGGAGCCACGCAGTGAGTGTGAAGTGGGAATATGTGGCCTGGCAGACTGGTGCAAAATTCCTCCAAGTCACACAATGTCTTTTGCAACATGTCTACAACATAAAGCTGGAGTTTTGCATTCATTTCCCTGCATAAACTGTTCGTGTCCAACAGACCTATTGTTCTGAAATCTAGAACAGTTTTATGCTGTTTATGGTTTACATGATATATGTATCACTATTCCCCTGTGTCCCACAACCTTTGTCCTCAGCCACCTTATTAAAAATCAGGCTGAGAATTGCAAAGGTCTCTCTGTCATGGACTCTAGTCCATTGTCCAGTATTCATGAATGTCCCTTGAAAATATGATGCCCTTGTTAATACAATCTTCAAGTGCCTCAGTCTTGTGGCATCTAGAAATCTTCAAATTTGTAGCTTGGGTAAATGTAACCAGTTTATACCCATTTCCTGGTATGCCAAAAATCACCCCTTAGCTTAAACAGTTGCAGTCCAATGTATTTGTAAATGGTAATCATATCCTCTATTAATCTTCATTTTGCTCTGCCAAGCAAGTCAAGCTCTTTACACCACTTTATAAGACGTTTTCTTTTTCTCTTCCTCCGCCCTACTAGTTTTGTTTTCTCATTTCTGAGTAGTTCTTTGGTATTAGGTCAAACTAGTTACATTTAATTTCTGCTCATCCTCCTTTTGAGATCATTCTTTTCCATCGACTCCTTTCCTATAGATTGTCCTGTATGTTTGGTTCCTGTTCAGACACGTGCAGGTGTGTACATATTAGCGGCATTCTGGCCTGGAAGTGATGGCCTTGGGAGATGAAAATTCAAGATAAAAGATTTCCTTATTCACCTTGAGAAAGAGGGATCTGGAGATCTTTACTAGGATCATGAAAGCTTTCAAATATTTTAAGGGCAAAAAGTTGTTCATTATTGGTCTGAATTCAGTATTAACTCTGCTTTGAGCAGGAGGTTGGATGAGATGGTCTCCTGAGGTCTCTTCCCACCTGAATTATCCTGTGATTCTAGGATTTTGTAAAATGCTTTCTGCTCTGCACAAGATGTGATGAGCAAGAAATGCAGTAAAGAAAATTTAAGTTGGACTTTAAAAAAAAAGAGTATGTCTCATTTCATTCAAGGTCTTTACCAATGGATTGGAGAAATACCTATCAGAAACAGCATTGTGGTCCCTGCCTTGGAAAAATGGTCCTTTGAGATCTTCTCAAATCCCCACTTGGGTGATTTTTGAAATTTTGGGGGTGGGGTTAAGGAAAGAGGGGATACTGGGGACAGGTGGTGAGACTTCCTTTTTGTGCTGGAGTAGACTGACATAATCAACAAGTAAATGCAGCGCTATTGCTAATCTCCTTTTCTGCTGATTCCTAAAAGTATCTGCATCTTCTGGCTGACCCTGAAAAGTTGCTTCATTTTCTAACTTGTACTGTAAAATGGAGGTTTCTTATGGATGCATTTATGAAAATACACCAAATGTGAGCAGCTTTTCTATGAGGTCAAACTGTCATATTAATAGAGTCCTATTTTTCTTTCAGATCTTTGGTATTGCCACTTGCAGATTAGAAATGGATTCATTTTGTATGCCTGGCTATAACACCAATTTCAAGTATCCATTCTAATCCATCAGTGTTGGCAATTATGTTCTTATTTGATCTTTTTCTTAAGCTGCTTCTTTGCTCATGTCTAGACAGATGTCTGCATCTGTGTCACTTTGTAAATATATTGAACACTGTTGCTTTTGTCTTTGCTATTGCTTAAAAAAAAAAAAAAAAACAAACTAGAAAACTAGGAAAGAATGGAATGTAAACTTCTGGTTTTCTCTGTAAGCTGAAATACATAGAATAAAATTTTTTTTTTTTTTCAAAGAATCTCTGAATTATTAGGTAACACTTTTATCTGATGCTTCATATAACTGCATTAGATGACCTCTGGGGTCCCTTTCAACATAAGCCATGCTACGATTCTGTTCTATCCAGTCAAATATATGGAAATCACAGGGACCTCTGGAAGTCTGTAGTCTAGCCTGTTACTCAAAGCAGGGTTAACTTGAAAGCTAGCTTTTGTTGCCTGGGCCTTTGGCCATCTGAGTTTCAGAAGTCTCCAGGCATGGTGTTTCCATGGCCTTTCTGTGAACTGTGCCATGCCACTTTTGGGGAAGAACTTTCTGCTGATGTTCAGTTGGAGTTTGCTGTTTTGCTGTCTGGAGCTTCCACAGTGGTCATACAGGGGGTGAGAGCATAAAGTACATGCATGTGCACTTAAATTGTAAAGAAAAACTCACAAGAGTATTTCTTTTAAACACTTTTCACTGTATTTTTCAAAGTCTAGTTCCAAAGACAGATGACACCTAGACCATTTATGTCTTCTCATACAGATATAATATTATTGCTTACCTGAAATGAATTTTTACTGCTTATTTTTTTTACTGCCTGCCTTGGGAACAGTTATCTTTGGTCATTCAGTTAGTGGAGGTGTGAACAAGTCACCATTAGGAAAAAGTACAAATATATGATACAAAACTATTCCATGATCACCGTGGTCATAATTAGCTTTTACCCCATGATGAATGCATAATGCCTTGCCCCTCATGGTAAGCAAGGTAAGTGACCTTCCATTTACTGCAAGATACCATTTACTGTGGGATGTCATTGTACACTACCTGTTGCCAAGAAGTAGCTGTTATGATAGAAGGTTGCATCCTCTTCTGATAAGGACTTCCTCTGGTCATTCACATGCCTTGCTTGTGCCCTCAGGTCTGGTTATTTACGAGGCTACCCATTCCTGGAGATTTTTAGTACGCTTGCTGTCTGCTGCTTTTCCTCTAGGGAGGAATGAACAAAAGCTATTAAATATCAAATCCGCTTCATGGCCCTTCCCTCTTGTAGTCTTCTCTTTTTTTCCCAGCTATCTACATGGTCTGCCATAGTTTGCTTAGGCTGTTTTATGAGTATTTGGTATACAGAAGGACACATGTTTCCTATTTTTATATGGCCTATCAAAGGCCCATGTCAAATTCCAGCCTTTTGCATTGCAGAAAATCCTCATTCTTGTTTGCTGTGTTGCTCCTAAGTTTATGGGTTAGACTCCAGATGATGGTTTTCTTAAATACTTATGACAGACCTGGGTTAGATAAGAAGAATCCGACAGCAACATAAAAACACCAAAGAGATTGTTTGGGAAATGGGTGGTCTGGAGGAGCAGCAGGTGTTCTGCCTAGTCAGGGAAAAATGTGCTCTGGGGTTTCTCTAAGACCGGGCAGTTGCCACTGCCTGTAGCTACATCTCTGAAAGCCAGTCTGACCCTTAGATAAGTCAGTAAAATGGGCTGTCATTTACCCTCTCTGTTAAGCTATGTTACCTCTTCCAAACTGGACTGAAATGTCATTGATTCCAGTCTTGTTGACATTAAGGCAACTTCTAAACCACCCACTCTATCCCCTCCCTAGGGCTGTCCTTGGCCAATAATTTTATCTTCTGCAGGTATTAAACCAGTGCAATAAAACAACTCAGGTCCTAACCCAGCTTTACAGTCAAGTCTCAAAGATGAGTCAGCACCTTATTATTTACAGACTTCTATCTTTGGAGCTATTTGAGGTGAGAGGGTGGATGATAACATGGTCCAGGAAGTTGTCGGGGGCTCAGCAGACACGCATTCAGTCCCCTGTCCTACACAGAGCTTTGTCTGTGTAACAATCTAGTGATAGCAGAACTTCCTTAATTGACAGGAAAATTGTAAAGGTGAATACAGCAAAGACCATGCACATTCTAGGTGGCAGGATAGGAACAATCCCTCTTGTCTTTTCAGTTATATTAGCACTGAAGAGAAAGCAGCATTTAACATAGCGATTTATAACTTCAGGTCATGTGTGGATAAGGTATTTTGGCTGGTACTTGTATGCTAGAGGGAACAACATGGTCCTTTGCTAAGTTTACTTGAAAAGTAACTGCATTTTCTAACCAGAGCGTCATTCTTTAAAATAAACTCCAGTTTCTTCAGTATAATTTCACTTGTGCTATTATGTTGACTGGTGTCTTTTATTTACCATAAAGCTGTCCAGGGTTTTTGGGGCCTATTTTGTGTTCTTACTCACAGCAAATTTTATTTTAGCATTTAAATGGGAATAGCTTTTCTTTGGTGTGTACAGCTGAGGCACATTAAAATGAGATGCTTAATTTTATCTGATTCTGACATAGATGTGATATAATTAAAGTGCAAGTCTCTGGAGAGTTTTGCCCATTTGTTCATTGTGCCAGCCAGTGTGAAACTCTCTTTATCTGAGTTTTCTTCCCGGGGCTTAGATAATGCAGGCACTTGCACAAATGCAGAGTCATTCTCATCAATATAAGAAGGATGTGTCTGGGCTAGTCTCTTCCTGCTGTACTTTTTGTTTGATTTTTGTTACCAATTCTATGTTTGTTTGTTTGTTGTTTTTTGTTCCTTTTTTAGGATTTTGAATCCTTTTTCTCAGCAAAAGAAGAAAATATTATTTATTCATTCCTCGGACTTGCTCCTCCTCCAGGCACAAAGGTATGCACTGCTGTCCTTCCATGGGGGCCATTTATTTTACTGTAGTAAAAGGTGAAGATAGGCAGTGACTCAGCATGTCAAATAAGGGGCAGTGACAAGTGACACTAGATGCTGCTGCAGCAAAAATTTCTTGGGAGGGAAAAAAAAAATGTCTGGTTCAGTAAACACTAGAAAACACTTTTCACTTCCCTTCTTTCACAGCAGGTTAGTTACCATGCCTCCAAATGACAATTTTGTTGTTGATGCAAAGTGGTGTTTTATCACTTTCAGATTTTAAATAATGCTGGATTTCATAATGCAATTTATAGGTTGTGTTAATTACAAGAAGCTGAAATGCTGGGGTTTGAACCCTGAGCCCCCGAATTAAGGTTGACATATGGGTGATTCCCACAGCCCTTCATGAAGAGGTGGTGAGTTTGCCTTATAGCTTCCCCCCAGGGTGCGGCCGGCCCTGCAGGGGGGGCCCTAAGGGAAATGAGGCCCAGGGGTCCCACACTGAGTTGACCAAGGTCACGTGTCTGCTTGGGGATAAAAGCTGGGACCACTTGCAGGGAGTCAGGAG